AAACATTTTTTCCATTTCATCTGGGTTTACATATGTCTAAGTATATACATCCATACCCACACACTCCTATGCGTTAACCTCAATTCACACATACACAGTAGTGGTATCTCTTACCCATATACCTTGTGAAAATGACCTCCTTATATTTCCTTTTAAACTGTATTAAATTTTGACTTTGTTTTAACTCCTCATTTAACTTGTTCCATAACTTTACCCCATGAAGTGAAATACAAAGGCTCTTTCTTGTTGTTCGTAAACTACAAATCCTTATGTTTGAGTAACCTCTTAAGTTATTCCCCCCTTCTCTTTTAAAAAACATGCTCTGTGTGAGCTCAGGTAACAGTTTATTAGATACCCTAAACATAATTTGAGCAATTTTAAATTCCAGATCGTCACATTTAAGAATTCTAGATTTTAAGAATGACAGGTTTGTGTGCTCAATAATAACCGACATTATGGATGATTCTAATGGCTCGTTTCTGTAGGATACTCAGTGATTGTAAAGAACTTTTGTTTCTTCAGGAAGAGCTTTCTTAATGTTAAATGGGAGTTTTTCCTCTCCACCATTAGCATCAGAATTGCACAAATTAAATAAGTTCTCTTAATGGTAGCACAGTGATGTTGAAAAAAAAAACATGCGTTTTTCGACAGTAAGTTTTTGTGTTGGTGTAAGGGGTTTTTCAGTCATATCAAAATAGATGTATTTTGCAAAACTGCAAAGGAAACCCTTTATCACGAGTCATGTGATCAACAACTGGATGTTACCACTGGCAGAATGACAAAGACGATAACAGGAAGTAGTAGGAGGTTGATGGGCTTTTTTTTTTTATTATTCAGACTGGCTCCACTGGAGCTCTCACAGCATCACACATTCATGAAAAGTTGTGTGTCATTTCAACGTGTTGAATCCCAAATCACCGACTACCAAACCCACGTATAAGGGGCAGAGTTTGCTGATCTCCTCTGGGGGCTGATAGATGATGAGCGCTGGTGTCATGACTGAATTATGAATATATTTCATGTAAGTGTTTACATCCGCCGCTGACAGGATTAATGACTTATTGCGTGATTGAGCTTATTTGTGTGTGATTTTAATTCAATTTCTTATTCCACAGAAACTCTGAAATTGCAAAATTGTGCTTTGTTTTTTTTGTTTGTTTTTTTTTTGTTTGTTTTTTTAACATCATCAGAATATAAATAAAGATTTGCAGACATTTTTAACGGAAACACATTCAGTGACACAACAGGAGGAGTCGATGCTGAAAGTCAATAACCTGATGCAGTCTGCTGGGTTTACTTTTGTAAGAAAACTTGTTTCATTAAATTCAGTAATAAGCATTCTTTGGTAACTATGATCAACTGGCACATATGTACTTAGCTTAGAATCTGTCTGAATGGATTGAATTGACTTTTTGTGAATTGCCTTGAGATATTATACGTTGTGAAATCGCTCCACATAAATAAAACTAAAGATAATTATATTATGGCTTACTCAATAGATGCAGTTATAAGCTTTCTCCCTGAGGACATGCATGCATTTTTATTTAACAGAAATTCCAGAAATTAGGCTAAATTAGTTTGTAGCCTGCAAACTGTTGTATGAGACTGCTTGAGGGGAGTTAAAAAAAAAAAAACATTCAATACTTATATTTGCTTCCAAACATGCAGCAAAAGCCGCTAAACTCTGAGTTCAGCATCCACACCAAGGTAGTTTAATTACGTTATCACTTCATGCCAGTAGGTAATAATAGCACTCAACAGGTAGGCCTCTGTCTGTGTGCGTGCAAACAGTCGTAGCAGCTTTTAAAAGTCTCACTAAGCAGTTTGTTAGGACATCAATTACAACCCCTTCAGATTTGTGTGTTTAGTCATTCTGTGAGTCCAGTGACAACGGCTCCTGCTGGCAGGTAATACAGATAAAGCTCTAATTACAGCCATTCATGCACTTTCAATTAATTTGCTGAATGTCTGTCTTAAGGCAGTCTGCTGTCGAACAGACTGACTCTCCACTGCCAGAGCTTTATGTTAGAAGAAAGAAAGCAACAAAGAATAAAACTGGTTTAGCACAATGAATCTCAGATTACTTTGGTATTTAGAGCTCAAATTGATCATTAAGGGTTTTTTTCATACGCCAAAGGAAAAACAAAAACAGGCTTCTGCCGCCGATTATGTCATGTTTTCACTTAAATACCGGCTTTCATTTAGTTAGAATGTGAATTAGGTAAATATCAGTTTTGCTTAAGAGTTTGGTCTGGTTCAGAACAGTACTGAGTGGTGCTGAAGCACTGCCTCCTCACGGTTATGTTCTTCATTAAACATTGTTACGACCCGGCTTGGCCAGGGGAAAGGGAAGTAACATTAAAGAAACCTAGGTGGTAAGGTTTAACAATTTAGAGGTTTATTGTTTGGGTTCAACAAAATAAAGAGGGTAAAAATTAATAGTCAAAATGTAGGGACTTACAACAAAAAGGTACTAAACAAAAATAGACTTTCAGAACAGGGTACACAAAAACAAACAACAAATCTCTGACAGAGATTCAACGATCCCTCACAGGGACAAAGTGAGTGACACAAGCTATCAAAGGTTGTCAGAGCTATCAAAACAAAGGCTATCAGAGCTATCAAAGCTAGCAAAGGCTATCAGAGCTATCAAAGCTAACAAAGGCTATCAGAGCTATCAAAGCTAACAAAGGCTATCAGAGCTAGCAAAGCTAACAACGGCTATCAGAGCTAGCAAAGCTAACAACAGCTATCAGAGCTAGCAAAGCTAACAACAGCTATCAGAGCTATCAAAGCTAGCAAAACAAGTTTACAGCAGTCAAACAACTAACAAAGTGGCAAGCTGTCTAAACAAAGAAACAGCCGCACCTTCTCTTCTTCTTCTTCTTGTTGTGTTTATTGGCGGTTGGCAACAAACTTACTAGTAGCATTACCGCCACTTACTGGTATGGAGTGTGGCTCGCGTTGGTCTAACACTTTCTCTGTATATATATACCTATATATACTCATACATACACCCATCCACACATTAACTCTTACGTCTACTCTATCAAATTCTACTGAATATCTTAGTTTTCTTTAAGAATCTAATAACTATTTGTATATGTTTGCTCTCCAAATTCTTCCTCAGAATATCTATTAAAATAAACTTTTCCTTAATACTTTCAAACTCTTTTTTCATACATCTTCTCTCTCTTTCATATTAGCCGCACCTTCTCCCAGGATGTCCTTGGTTCTTAAAGGGAGACCTCAACAGTGATTGGTGGAGCCGGCAATTGATGACCCAATCACGGTAGGCCTCAGGATGTGGCACAGGACAAGCAGGGCAGCACCCACTTCCAGGTGGAGTCAATCTGATTAGCCACTGAAAACAACAAACAAACACAGAAAAGGTCACTGGCCGTAACAAACATTAATATTACTGACATTACTAGTTTTAAACCCTAAAATACCTAAAACTGCAGATGTACTTGAACAGATGGGTGGCATCTCATATCTGAAACATGTAAATGGCTTCGGTTTCCAGGTCGACCGAGAATGTTTGGTGACGAAAAAATATAACGCAATACAATGTGATAAGACAATTTTGGTTATTTATGGGGCAACTGCAAACAGACGGGTTTTAGCCCTCAGGAGCTGCGTTTCCATTGACATATGAAGAATAAATTTGCTTAATGAAAATATGCCAATTTTGAAAAAAACTTGTTTTTGCCAAGTTTTTGTGTTAGGATGAGTTTTTTTTTTTTTTGTTTGTTTTTTTTTTTTTTTTACTGTATAGAAATTGATTCATTATAAAAAACTGAAATGAAAACTCTTCTATCGCATCACACCAGTCATATGATCAACAACCAGATGTTGCCTCTAGAGTAAATCATGAAGAAGAAGCCGACAGGAAGTAGTTGGAGGATAATGGCGTGGCATGTTTATTAATAACTGATTGTGTGAATAAAGTTATTCAACTGTGATTTTAATTCCGTTTATTATTTAATAAAAACACCGCAATTGCAAAATTGTGATTTTTCGACATTGCCATAAGATTGTTTTTTGTTTTTTTTGTTTTTTGTTTGTTTTTTTGCGCCCTTTTGTAATAGAAATGCATCTGGTGTTTCGGCTGTTTTGCAGTTTTCCGGAAGCTGAATTCTACTGTGCACCACTAAAGCCAAACGTACGAAATTCCCTAACAATATTATATCTAAATACTCCAGCAAAAGCAAAGGTAATGCATGTCACCTGAACTTCAGGTAGGCCTGTGTTAACCTTGCCTCCTCCCCCGGCATGCCAGGTCACATTGCGACCTTGTGTTACGACAAGCTGATCCGGAAATCAACACAGTACACTGACAGCCAATTAAAGTCAGCCTGTAGCAATAACCAGTGTAATGCAGGCAGGGCCCCACGGTGCTGAGTACGGGAGCGCCTGTGTTATTCATTACAAGGTCACGCAGGTTCAGGGAATATCCCACCCTCTGGAAACACTGTCGACTCCAACACGCCCTCCAAGGTTCCAGGGCCTGATTCATTTACGCCATTAATGCAATCTGGCTGCTGGCACTGAGAGGAGCGCACTGGGTAAGACTCTATTACTCTAACCTCTCCATTTACTCTGTATAAACATGCTCATGTTTCCAGTCAGTGGGTGGGTGAGTGTCTAAAAAGGCTCTTTATCAAATAAAGTGCTATCCACAGTACTCCCAGCAAATATTATTATTAGTATTATCCTTCTTTTCTCATCCCATGTAATTCCTGTATATAATCTAACAAACTCCACTTAGAGGAAAGAACTTTTTAAAGGGGCAGTATTGTGTGTTTTCCAGGCATAGAGTACCATTTTATAGCACAAACAAGTAACTATGTTACCTTCCGTTGTTATAAAAAATTCTGTACATATCGGACATGACTTAAAAAAAATTGACTTCCTTATATAGCACCTAGAAATAGGGTGTCTATCTCTTTAAGAAGCTCCTACTCTTCCTGAAACATCAGGAAGTCATCACAACATGGCTCCTCTATTAACCCTTTAATAATGTTTTTACCAGTGTTTCACCGAGGAGTAGCTCCTATTATGAGCTCAGCAGATGCGCAGGTCTACTAGGTTTTGGCTAATTGCTGCTGGCTAGTCTGAAGGAGCCGAGTTTAGAAGGCAACTCTCCAGGTCTGTTTTTGACGAGGGAACAACATTAAGACATGGTATAAAACCAAAAAAGTTTATTTTACATAATGCTGCCCCTTCCACTCTATTAACTGATTGAATGTATGTTCATATTTTTCTGCCTGGTACAGATAATTTACATATATATTGTTACTGTCACTATTATTAGATTGTTGTTTTCATTTCTTCACATTCTGATAATGTCAGTGTTAATTCATTCAGTTTACCATCACTGCTTACACACACACACACACACACACACACACACGCAATCATTAATATTCATTCATTAACCCACATTACTTTGTTTTTTCTTTCTTACATTTCACTAATGTGATGTACCGTTTTTATGTATCTTGTACTGTGATATGCAAGAAATAAATACTTTCTAAAAATAGAAAAGAGGTTCTACAAAATGTCTAAAGAGAATGTACATGTATATATATTTATGTTTGCATGTGTCAAGTGTGTGTATATCCTCGTTATTCATATGCCAAGCTGTTAAGCTGTGCTGTACTGATTGCTTCACACACTTGAATGCAAACTCACACTCACAGCAAGCGCTTCACGTTCAGATGTGTACTGTACATGAGCCGACCCCACAGAAGCATTTACGCAGGTGCTAAATCCCAGCTGGGTGCTGGTGTTGTGATTCATTCACACACAGTATGCGCCGAGTGTGTGAATGTGGGTAAAAAAACTGAAAGAAAAAACCCCAGCAATGTACACCCACACACTCATATGAGATTTAAAGAGCAAGAGAGATCAAGTAATCCAGTTGATATTCTCCCAAAAGAGCTACTTTGGAGTTGGTGATTTGGTGAATTCATAACCATATGATCTAAGGTTGGGGCGGACCGAAAGTGTGATCGCAACATCGTGTGGTATTGTTGTGATAATGAATGTGATGATCAGAATTATTTATTGCTTCTTTTCCAGGTAACTATACAGCTGCATTTCCATTGACCATATAATTGCGCAATTTGAAATTTCAAAAATAAATCTGCTTAATGGAAATGTGGCCGTTTCAAGTCTTGTTTTCTGTAGGATGAGGTGGTTTTTGATCCGTATCAAAATTGGCTTATTTTGCAAAAATGCAAGAAACACTTTTTTTTATTATTTTGCATCACACAAGTCACATGATCAACAACAGGATGTTACTACTGCTGCAAACTACAAAGAAGAAGATGACAGGAAGTAGTAGGAGGATGATAGTCTAGAATGTTTTTATCGTGAAAACAAACATATTCACATGACTTTAATTGCGTTTATTTAATGGTAACACCACAATTGCGAAATTGTGTGTTTTGGGGGGGTTTGGCATTAGCAGAATATTGACAAAGTTTTACACACATTTGAAATGGAATCACAGGTTATGACTGCATGGCATCACATCCAATGCATCACAAACAAATACTGCTTTTTAAAAACATTTCTATTTGTAATTCACTTATTTAGGACACCAGTCATATAAAGAAGTAAAATTAGCATCACTAAGCTACGCAGCCTGACTGCAATTAATAGTATTCTCAAATGCAATTATATTTATTGTATTTATTGATACTCTCAATGAACAAACAATGGAGAAAATAGCAAAATAACAACTAGAGAGTTTCAGGTGGAATTTGTTTTGTTTTTTTTATTTAACTAAGGCTGCAATATTGTTGTTTATGTATTTTGAAAGAGACAATGCACCTGACATGATATGTCAGAGTTAGCCATATAGGACAGTTTTCATCTGTAGTTGCTAAAGCTACAATCAATATAAATACATTACAGTTCAACACAGACAAATTAACAAGCTTCTCTAAAAAAAGAGAATAATAATGATTAATATAAATACCATTTCTAATATAAAAATAACATGTAAGTTTACAAATGCATATTAAACAACATGAATATGTCATATAAATGTGACAGATTAATCCAGAGAGGCTCATGATCTCCAGTCTCCTTAATGGAAGGGACTTAAAAATAAAATAAAATTAACAAGAAAAAACATAACATGTGGTTCAACAGATTTCAATGTATAGCTAAAAGTAGTGTAACTTTACACTAAACATTTATAAGAAAAATAAAATTAACAATAATAGAAATTTATCATAACAACCACATATCAGAACCTTATCATGATAAATGATAAATGATGCAATAAATGTCCGCCTCTACGTAAGGTAATATTACAATGAAAAATGAAGCGATGACTTTGAAATGTTGGATGTGTTGTATTTTCTACACTTGTGGAACCAGGTTATGGCTACTTTTTAATCTTTTTTTCTGTTAAAAGCATTGGTTTTAGCTCAATTGTGGAAGATTGTAGCATTTTAAGTGGAAAAAGCATAAAAATGATCACCGTCTAATATGTGTAGTTCACTGCCTGTACCTGGCATTCCTATTAACAAATGTGTTTTCTGCAGAGTTGAAGCAGTTCAGTCTTTGGTCTTTATGAGAATGTTTCTGCACCATCTCACTGTCTGGATAAAGGAGAACAAGCTGTGGGAACAACGACGATAGGGATCTCTAATAAAATCTGTTGTT